GCATGCACACGAATACATGCATGCACACAAGCATACATATAAATAAATGCACATAAGCATGCGCATACATGTACATGCTTATGCACAGACAAGCTCTGGCATCGGGTGCATGAAACCTGTACCTGATCAGGTATGTAAAGTAGTAGTATTATTATATTTAAAAATAAGTGCCAAACCCCCATGGGTCATACAGCAATCAAACATGTAAAGAAAGTTAAAAATATCCAAAGATTTGAGACTTTCTTACAGGAACGAATGGGTTTGGACTATCAAGTTTTAAGGAATTCAGCCTAATAACTAGAAGAAAATAGGACCAGGAAAATATGATCATGACATACAAAATACTGAGGGGGACTAAATAGAGCAGATAGGGATAGGCTGTTTCAGATGTGAGAAGAGGGAGCCAAGGAACATAACAGCTAAAGATGCAGATAAGCCACTGTAATATTAGCTAATACTATTTCAGTCTCAGGAAAATGAGTACAGTAAATGAAATGAACCAGATGAAGTGGTTGCAGCAGTAAACAACTTGCAAAACTTCAAGTATGTATGATTAGGCCCTGGAGGCCAAGAATCTGTAAGTCAGTCAGAGGTAGCAAAGAGGCTGGTTCAGGAGGTATGGAATGTCTTAACTCCTGCAAAAACAAGGTGAATACACACACACGCATGCATGTATACACACATTTGGTATGCATGTATACTCTCTTGTGAATGAAGTGTCAGTAAATGTTATATATATCTGCATGGTGTTTCTATGTTAATCTTGCTCCAGTGCAACTATATTTATTTATATGAAGCTAGTTTGACTCATTGTAAGTGTTTATGTAACCCACTATATTCAGGTAATTTGCAATTAACTGCCTCACTCTACTGTATTAATATTGTTCTGATTTTTGACCAGTTGTGTTACCATTCCTGTCTTGTTTACTGCTGTAGAGACTTAACTAAAGCTCACTGGTGAAGAATATAAGACATGCAACTTAAGAAATGCAGAAGATGGCTTGAGAGTAATGTACAACTTCTCTACAGCAGTTTTATAATTATACTCATCATCGTTTATTTTCCATAGCATTATAATGCTACAGTCATTTTCTTTGCTGCTTATATTATAACTCACCATGTTAATCAAGTGTATAGTATGGTAGACACCTTTTAACTACCTGACCTGAACTATATATTTTAAGAATTTGGAGGAAGAAATGAGTGGATTACAGGGATATGTTGCTCATGCATGTACACATTACAGTAGATATATACAGTATTCTATCTAGTCAGCCAGTTCTCACTATGGCAGAATGACAAAATAAATAACATATATTTTTAAATAGATAAAACAATGTAAAATTAATAACAGTTGTTGGTTATATTTGTAAATAATTTTTTAAAAATGACAATAATTCCTTTTATGAACAAATGAAGCAAAGGGTAGTTGACCTGTTCAGGAAAGACATTTGTGTTTCTCATTTTGATGGCGATTTTTTTTTTTTTTTTGCGCACCCTACCATCCTGCTTGACCCTAGTGGGATGACTGTGGTTCTTAAGTGTTGATGTGAATGCTAGACTATCAGTAGTTGGTTGTCCTGGAGTGCTCAAGTATTATGCAATGCAAATCTGGTATATTTTACCCTGCAGTACTGACCTTTTTGACATTCTTTTCATACCTAGTCTTCTTCATGGTACCTTATCATCACTAGTATTCCTTTTGGGTGCCATGGTTGATATCCAGAGACAAGATAGGGTGATAAAAATATTCAAAATACAGTGGACCCCCGCATAACGATTACCTCCGAATGCGACCAATTATGTAAGTGTATTTATGTAAGTGCGTTTGTACGTGTATGTTTGGGGGTCTGAAATGGACTAATCTACTTCACAATATTCCTTATGGGAATAAATTCGGTCAGTACTGGCACCTGAACATACTTATGGAGTGAAAAAATATCGTTAACCGGGGGTCCACTGTAATTTGATAAACACAGTTAATAGGGCATGCAATGCTCCCAAAAAGCAAATGTAAGCAGTGTGGTTGGCAGTGATGCTCTGAATACTCGACCCTTAGGCCCGACGCGAGTTGAGAACTACCAAGATTTTGCTCATAACCTGATGCTTACAGGTGTGTATTAATCAAGACTTTTTAAAGCACTATTCAAAAAATGATACACCTTTCCAACTGTGCTTTAGACAAAATTCCTTTATGTAAAGATACTTTATGTGGGTCCACTGCACCTTTTCGTTGACAAGAGTTTCTAATGTCCTCGTACATATATCTAAGTGCTCTATAAATAATAAAACTTCTTTATTTCATAAGTTTCAGTTTTCTTATATATGTTGTACTTGGTGATGTCTTATACATTCTTTGTTTATTTTGGCAGCATTTTGTCTGCCATGGAGATATCATTAGGCTGAGAAGAGACTTACTCATACAGTATTTTATATGACATAACTTGACTAAGGCAGGTGAGCTGTTCCCTTGGAAACTGTAAAGTCATTAGTTTCTGACATGGAGTGTATGCAAGGTAACATTTATGAAGGGATTCAGGGAAACCGGCAGGCCGGACTTGATTCCTAGAGATGGGAAGTACAGTGCCAGCACTCTGAAGGGTGTTAATGTTGCAGTTTTATAACTGTAGTGTAAGCATGCCTCTGGCAAGACAGTGATGGGGTGAATGATGAAAGTTTTTCTTTTTCGGGTCACCTTGCCTTGGTGGGAGACAGCTGGTGTGTTAAAAAAAAAAAAAAGTCTTGCTTGTGACAGTTAGGCCAAGTGCAAGTTGTTTGTGGTTTTTTCCATTGAATGTGAATGATCATTTTAATATTTATGTGTGATATTTTTCTTTCTTTCTTCTTTCAACACACCGGCCGTATCCCACCGAGGCGGGGTGGCCCAAAAGGAAAAACGAAAGTTTCTCCTTTTACATTTAGTAATATATACAGGAGAAGAGGTTACCAGCCCCTTGCTCCCGGCATTTTAGTTGCCTCTTACAACACGCATGGCTTACGGAGGAAGAACTCTGTTCCACTTCCCCATGGAGATAAGAGGAAATAAACAAGAATAAGAACTAGAAAGAAAATAGAAGAAAACCCAGAGGGGTGTGTATATATGTGCTTGTACATGTATGTGTAGTGTGACCTAAGTGTAAGTAGAAGTAGCAAGACGTACCTGAAATCTTGCATGTTCATGAGACAGAAAAAAGGACACCAGCAATCCTACCATCATGTAAAACAATTACAGGCTTTCGTTTTACACTCACTTGGCAGGACGGTAGTACCTCCCTGGGCGGTTGCTGTCTACCAACCTACTACCTATTGATATTTTTCTCTTGCATGTAAAAAACCTCAAGGTTTAGTAGTGTCTTATGTTAACTGCATTTTTTCAACATGTTAGTATTTAGTGTTGATTCCTCTCATTCAGCATTGTACAGTACTAGCATCCTGTGTGTTAATTATGTCAATGCACTGTATGCCAGGTGCATGTTCATCCATATGCTGGTGCCTGTGCTTCTTATACCATTGTTCTGTGCATTGTTTATTGACATATGCATCCCTCTGCTGGTCATGTGAACTGTCAGTTAATTAAACTATGGTATGTTTGGTGTCTTCAGAATATTAAGATTTGGCTAATGTTTTTTTTTCATGCATAACTTATTTTGTCTGTTTTTTATGTATCATCAAGCTGTTGTTCGGTAATATAATCCAGAAGTATTGTGTGTATTTTCATTGTAAATTTATTTAAAAAATTTGCATATCTCATCAGAATTGTGTGTGCCAGTTTTTACAGAAATGTTTGATTTTTTTTTGGTTCAAGAGTTCCCATATTGGGAAAGTGTTGTAGGCACAAAAATATGAATACGTAGTTTATGCAGTACTCATTCAGAAGGCAGTCGCACATAGCATTGAGGCACCTCCCTGGGTTTCCTTTATACATTTCCTTGTCAATCATACTTTTGATATGATTACAGGATCTGCTCCTGGTTCTGGTTATTTAAAATAGTTTAAGCTAACACTTTCCAAAAGTTGGGTCAGCTGTCCTATTACCAACTGTACTTCTTTATTAAGAATCTTTATTTTTATTAACTGTATGAATGAGCCATACCAACCAGAGAAATCTACCTTGGTGCAGATGCTTGGTATCTTTCTGTGAATTTCCTCAAACTTTTCTTTGATGTTCTGCTTTAAATCATCAGGGCTTACTTCTAGTCTTTCATGGGTTTTCTTACTGTTTCTAGGCTAGAGTATGCTCTTCCTTGACTTGGCCTCTTTGTTTTTTTGTATAGAATCTCACAGTACCTTACATAAATCATCTCACATTTTTTTGCTGATGGTTTCACCAGAATGTATACAGTTAAGATGTGCTACCTCCTCAGTTTGAGGATTTTCTTATCACATCAATAACCCAGGCTAGTTCTTGCTCATAAAAATGGTGTTACAGATATTTGAGTATCTAAATTGCACAGAAAATCTTGCTTTCACCAAGACAGGATACAGTTAGTAAGAGGGGTGATTATACTGGCCTAGCAACATATGGTTCCAAGTTGTTCACTAGTCACTCAAATGGTAATTAGCTTCTCATTACATTTATACAAGTTTCTGGATTATAACAATTGTATTCCAAATATCATCTAATTAAGACTTTACTGCTTTACAGATCTTTTCTTCTTTCAACACACCGGCCGTATCCCACCGAGGCGGGGTGGCCCAAAAGGAAAAACGAAAGTTTCTCCTTTTACATTTAGTAATATATACAGGAGAAGGAGTTACTAGCCCCTTGCCCCCGGCATTTTAGTCGCCTCTTACAACACGCATGGCTTATGGAGGAAGAATTCTGTTCCACTTCCCCATGGAGATAAGAGGAAATAAACAAGAACAAGAACTAGAAAGAAAATGGCAGAAAACCCAGAGGGGTGTGTATATATATGCTTGTACATGTGTGTATAGTGTGACCTAAGTGTAAGTAGAAGTAGCAAGATGTACCTGTAATCTTGCATATTTATGAGACAGACAAAAGACACCAGCAATCCTACCATCATGTAAAACAATTACAGTCTTTCGTTTCACACTCGCTTGGCAGGACGGTAGTACCCCCCTGGATGGTTGCTGTCTACCAACCTACTACCTAAATGGTTTACAGATATCCAACTTAATGATGAAGTTATACCCTCCTGCTTAGCTTAACTTGTAATAGTGACCTTTTAAGAGTTTACTCATGAACATTGCTCCAGTTGCTGCATTTTAAGTGAACAACTTACCTCTGCATGATATTAGTAAACAACTGAGTTATGTTCTGCAGCAGTTATGCGTATGTGTTGAATGGGTATTTATATACACTTGTACATTTAAAGGGAGTTTTGTGAATTCAAAATGCTATGGTACAAATTAATTAATCATGAATGAACTGAGGATATGTAGAATTATTAACTGGTGTCTACTATACTGTATTTGGAAACTTTTTTCATGCTGTACATGTATTATAAGCAACAATAGGCAACATATAAACGGTTCTTGTCAGTGTACATTATTAAGTTACAGTATATTATCTACACAGAGAGAAGACATATTTATTACACTCACTTCATAATTTCACATTGAAATTTATGAACTGCGTTTCAAGAAGCATAGAATAAAATATCCCAAGTGGCAAGTCTAGATATTAACAGAATTCTGGCAGGTTTTAGTAATTTTACATTTTGTAGGTTAATGATGTGTCAGGTCTCCGTGTGTGGCTCCACTGCATTTATATTTTTCAATGTGAGAAGAGTCATCATAGGAGTGTTAGTTTTGTGGCACCTAGGGCCATGTAATCCTAAGTGTGTTTTTATTTATTGCAGTTAATGTTATATGTTATTACTATTATTTTTGTATATTTGTTACATATGATTTATTTAAGCAAATGCCATGTTATTTATCAGGAATTGTTTTGCATTTTTTAGCATTAAGGGTCATTGTATTAAATGCATTATTTTGTACGTATATTGCAGTATAGCCTCAGAGTTTGCTCTTGAGGTAGGTAGATTTTGGAGAAAGGATGATAGCACTGTAGGCCATTTATAAATTGAATAAAGTGTCATTTCATTGTCAAGATGTCAAAAATAGTACTATTATTAAACTTGTTGAAAATGAAGCTAAATTATTGACTTGAAATTTTTTTTGAATTATAAGGTAATAAGTTTTTAGAAGTACCATGAAAAGTATCATGAATTTAAATGTTTTTACATGAGTAACATCCTCTTCCTATCAGCAGAACCTAACATCAATTGGCCTCATTGAGTAATGTCACCATCATTGTTTTTTCTCTCCACAACCACAAAATTTCCACTGCCCAATAGTGCTGAAAGACCCTTGTGAGTTTAGTGCTGTTTTTGTGAAGGAGGGATGGGATGTTGCAGTCAGAGGGTAATCGGCATGCTTCTGGAAAAACAGTGACTGAATGACTGTAAATGTGTTTTCTTGTTTGGGTCACCCATTCTTGGTGAGAGATAACCATTGAGTTAAAAAATGCTATAAGGGTTTGTACCTGGCTTTTGTAACTTGTCACTTTTCCAGCTTATTTCAGTCTACTACTTTATTCACATTAACCTATGTAGGAAAAGTAATATGTAACTGCTATTACAGAAGCTTATTATAAAGATTTATTATAGAATGTGCAGTATATATTACAATGTAATTGTTGTGTTCTGAGGCAGTGTCAAGCCAATACTCACTTGGCATATGGTTATTACTTGTTCAGAGCAAATGGCACTTGGTAAAGATTATGGGGGAAAATGCCCTGGTGTTGGTGAAGGGCTGTTGATCCAAGGAATTTGAGCTACCTTCCTTGATACTAAATTTCATTACCTTCCATTTCCCAGGTGCTGTATGACTTGTTGGTTTAGCACTTTCCTGTGAATGTAATAAGAACATAACTAAAGAAAAGCTATTATTAGTTTACTGAATTATATGCAGTAAGCATGAAGTGCTTCAAGCAGAACTTTCCTTGGTCTAGATGTTAAAGGGAGCATTGGGTTGTTTCTAATCATTAATTGTAGGAGCGTGCCAAAGTATTGGTATTGACAGATTTTTGTGGTATTGGTATCAGTCTAAAATTAAGTGTTGGTATAGATAAGTATCGGCTAAATTTGATATCAGTATCAGCATCACCAACAATTTTGGTATTGTACCATCCCTAATAAACTGTATTAGTGTTACAGTTGCCTTGTACTGTCTGAGTTACGGTGTGTGTGTCAGTTGTGGTATTGGTGACGTAAACTGTATAAACAAAGTTGGGTACCTTCTGGGTACTACAGATGGCAGTGGTGCCTCTAGGAACTGTGATCATCTTGTTGACCCTCTGTTTTTCTGTAATTGTTACAGTCTCTTCCAACACAGATACCCGTGTGGACACAGCTGTCTGAATGATAGTAGTAGGCACTGTGACCACAGACACAACTAAATTGTCCACTGCCTCTGTCACCACTTGTGTTATATAGTTGACAACAGTGGTAGGAATTACTTGTGTTGCCACCTGTGTTTGTGTCTGTGTGATATACTGGGTGCTCTCTATAGTCTGGGTGTCGGTGATGACTAGTGTGCTAAAGATTGTGGTGACAAATGGTACCACAACAGTGGACACCACTTGAGAGGTCAAGACAGGAAGAATAGAGATCACAGTGTTCATAAAAGTAGAGGTAATTGAATTGATACTGAATACTGTCTGTCCTGGAAGTGTTTGAGTCACTACATCAGTGCTTATTGCAAACATTCTCTCCACAATAGTGTGGGGAGGCAGGGTGGTGGTGAGAGTGCGTGTGACATATTGCTTTTCCACTCTCGTAAAAGTGGTGGTCACAACTTTGGTCGAATACTCTGTCTCCACAATTGTGCTGGGCACAATATTTGTATGCACTTTTACATGTGTAGTCTCTGTAACACTTGTGTTGATGATGGTCTGTGTGGCAGTATGGAAGATAGTCTGTGCAGAAAATGTGACTGTTGATGTTTCTATAACTGTCTTTGTTTCAGTATGGATGTTTGTGGTATACACAGTATTAGGAACAGTGTTTAAAATGGTCTTTGTGTTAGTGATGGTCTGTGCCATAACAATCACTGTAGTAGATATTTCTGTCGTTATCACTGCCTTGTCATTGAAGATTGTGGTTGGAACCATTTGAGTCTGAACCTGTAGGCTGATCTCTGTAATAATGATAGTGGCACATGTGAAGCCAGTCTGTGAGTTCTCGGTGACAGGTGGCAAGTGCGTGCCTGAGAGGTAGTTAAATTCAAGTGCATCTTTGTTGGTAGGGAAGGAAGAATCGAGGGATCGTAGTTTGCCTGCCAAGCATCCTGACCATGCTGGCAGCACTAACAACAACATGATGCCCTGACCCATCCTACCTGAGAGAAAGAGAGAGAGAAAGATAAGGAATACTTGTACCGTCTACAAGTCTAACAACTTACTCTATGTATTGTGCTACAAAGTATCAAAATTTTAATTGAATTTACCCTGGACATCACTGTATCTGCTAAGTACTTAAAGGGAGTAAAATATAAATTATGAGTTAATATAAATTTTAATAGTAATGCTACAAAAATATGAACATCTGCAGAGATAAGAATGATGTAGAAATAACTGGCTAGAATAAGCCAACATAGTATATTAGTAGGTTTAGCACTTTGTTTTGATTATAATAATAGTATATTATTCAGTACAGTATTCATAAAAACTTGCTAAACCCATGCTAGGTCAGTCAGCACTAAAGGAATTTGACTATATCTCAATTGTCGTGCACAAATAAAACACAGCTTGACTAATAGCACCTATACTGCTTAAGTGATGCAAAATAACTTGAGTGACACTGTAAGTTGACCAAACCAATGACTACTTAGAGCGAATTGGACACATTATGCAACAAGTGATCTGGAAAATTAGACAATATGAATAATGAAAAGGGAGTTTAATATCTTTATTATGCACCCCATACCCATCCTGTGATCAGTAGTTAAAAAAGGGAGGAAACAACAATTCCTTGGTTATGGCTACTCAAAGGTAAAAGGGTAGGTGGGCTGGCTATAGTTGTAATCCATATGTGTCTGTGTGCATTTAGCAGTGACTACTTCGTTGGCTGTCTGCTGGATAACAATATTAACCATCTGGGTGGTGACCTGCACCAGATCCTGCACTGCACTGACCATTTCATGCACATCTACTGCACTAGTCATTGTCTGGTAGTCTGTCACCTGGTCATAGGCTGTGGTCGTCACTAGGCGCTGCTCCACTTTGTCAACAACTTGTTTAGAAGTGACCACCTCTTCCACCAGCTGAGTTTCTACTATTTGACGATCCACCTGCTGTGTGATGGTCTGAACTACAACTTCATCAATGACAAATGTTGAGGTTACGTAGTTAATGCTGCTATCAGTCACTTGGATAACCTTGGTTCTGATCTGTGGCACGACTACCTGCCGAGTCTCCACCACCTGCTCCACCAGAGTCTCTGTCAGTGTGTGAGAAACTACCTGTGTATTGACCACTGGTGTGGGTGTCACCAAGCTGGTCAACTCTTGAGTCTGGATTAGCACAGTGTCCACCACAGAGGTTATGTTAGGCTGCTGGGTCAGCTCGGTTCTAACTACTCGACTTGTGTGTGTGGTTATGATCACTACAGGTTTAGCCATGACCACGCTGGTCTCCAACTGCACCTCCATTTGAATGTCTGTCTCAGTTGCAGTAATGAGTAGTGTTGTCAGCTGTGTTGTAGAAACTCGGATGGGCTGCATCAATTTAGTGTAGCTGGTGTTGACTACTTCAATAAGTTGAGTGGTAGTGACCACTGTGGTGTGTGTCACTTGCTTAACTACAGGATCTAGCTGGACTACTGCTTCAACAGTGCTAGTCTGGACAAATTCATTGCTATGCTCATATGTGTGGGTGATGGGGATCTGCACCTGGCGTGTCTCGGTTTGCACCATAGTGGTGGTGACTGCCACTACCTGCGTCACTAATGCTCGTGCTACAAAGGTTGGGCCACGCTGTACTGTCACTGGCTGCACAACCTCCTTTGTCTGAACATTGTAGATAGTAGTGGTCTGGACAGCATTCTGGCAGTTAGACCCAGCATGGGAATTGTCACTGATTGGTTGGTAGCTACTCCTCACCCAGTTACTGAAGAACTGGAACCTTGTAGCTGCAGGAGCCAGGCACACCACCACCAGCGTTGGCACTAGCACAGCCCACATCCTGCAATGAGATGCAACACTCAGTGTTTGGACTACACATACAGGAGCACTGCCTGAGTCTGGAAGATAAAGTCCAACCACACAATGTGTTACTCCCACAGCTGGAGTGCCCAGGTGCACAAGGTGATGTCAGGAGCCTAGACTCGATTATTCAACCTCAAGGTTAGTATATACTGGTAACATGGTGGCAGTCAGTATAGAAAGAGTGCTTCATCCAATGAAATCTAGCAATCTTCTCCTTGATATGATATTAAAGGCTCAAGAATCAAGGAATTACAGTACCCTTCCATTTTCTGAATCAAACCTGATTATGTCCTATTTCCCAGGTGCTGAATGCCCTTCTGGTTTAGAGCTTCTTCATGAACAACAATAATAACATTTAGTAAGTAAATTTAATATCTTTATTATGTACCCCATACCCATCCTGTGATCGGTAGGCAAGATTACGGAGGTAAATAATGTGTCTAGGGACTGGGCTGCAAAGTATTGATAACTGAACAAGTTACAGTGGTAACGAACTATTTACATGTATATATGTAGTTAAAATCATAATCAACTATTTACAGACCTTTCTTGGTTTAGCGCTTCTTTTTTGATGATAATCATTTATGCAGACGTGAATTAGGTCACACAAAAAGTTACAAAAAATATATTTTAGCAAGGTATGCTTGAAATGAAAAAAAGTGGTTTGCCTTATTTACAGTGGGTAAAGTCAGGGTATTTTTCCTGAATGGTTAGTAATATACCACTGGATAAAATACTTTGATATTTCTTGAACATTTCCGATTGAGTTGTCTCTGATTTCATTAATTTTATTGCACTCCAGCATATAATGATGGAAGGTCTGATTTAGATTTTGCCACCAAAGTGGCTAGTTTATTGTGCACCCCATATCCATCCTGTGGACGGTAGCACAAGAGCATATGGATACACAAAAGACCTAGGAACTAGGCCCCAAAGGGTTAACAGGAATACATATGAATTTATGTCTACATATCTATAGTTCACTTATCTGTTACAAGCAAATTTAGGAAATTTGCTTAGTATATCTGGTATCTTATTTTCATTAATAAGATATGTTGACATGTCACATAGGTTATTATACTGTCTATCTCTGTATTCCTCAATAAGTGGACAATTAAGCACATAGTGTTCAAGACAGTAACCATATGCCTGATCACATAATTTACATTTAGTTTGATCATCATCTGTGTGTCTCCCAAACTGCCAGAAGCACTTGTAACCAAGTCTAAACCTGGCCACTACAACATCAGTGTTCACATTACAAGTTGCTACATAAACATACTTATCTATGTTCATGTTATCATAGTGGGTTATAGATCTACTCCAGCTTCTAACTGCATCCCTATAACAATCATTTTCATTATTTACTTCTCTCCTAATATTATTCCTAATGCTAGGCACAGATATACCAAAGTTATATTCTACATTCTCCTTCAGGGCACTCTTCTTGGCTAACCTCTTCAAGGGGGGGCTCGTGAAGACGATGTAATCAGTCCATCACCCTTGAAGTCGTAGAATTTTGAGGTTGTCAGTCCCTCAGCCTGGAGAAGTTCAGTTCCATAGTCAGGAACTATCTGAAGATCAAGCGGCAGTGCGGAGACTTAAATACTGTCGGATGGAGAGGTGCAGAGTAGTAGTAGTAGTGAGAACGTAGCCACTGAGAGGTCAGGTTCCTCTCAGATCCAACAGTTCTCACTTGAAAGGGTTGTCCAAGGTGTTTTCTGTACCAAGATAGTTCCTGACTATGGAACTGAACTTCTCCAGGCTGAGGGACTGACAACCTCAAAATTCTACGACTTCAAGGGTGATGGACTGATTACATCGTCTTCACATCTCTACTGTTCCTGCCTAATTTCTGTATTCGACTGAAGAAGCCTACTGTGTAGGCGAAACGTTTCGGAATAAAGTTGCCTAACTGTTGCCTATGTGTCTTACCTACCAACCTGTCGGTATTGTATACCATTTTGATATTCATCTTGTCAGACACTGCAACACATGGCCTCTTGGTACAGAAAACACCTTGGACAACCCTTTCAAGTGAGAACTGTTGGATCTGAGAGGGACCTGACCTCTCAGTGGCTACATTCTCACTACTACTACTACTACTCTGCACCTCTCCATCCGACAGTATTTAAGTCTCCGCACTGTCGCTTGATCTTCAGATAGTTCCTGACTATGGAACTGAACTTCTCCAGGCTGAGGGACTGACAACCTCAAAATTCTAAGGGGGGGCTCCATGGTGTGATGAAGAGGATCTTGGTCTGAGGAATTAGACCTAATGGTCTCCTTCCTCAGACCGAACTTAATTACCCCCTCAATCCCCCCTTCCCTATCCCATCCTTCCTACCTTCCCTTTTCCCTTTCCTCCTCATCCTCCCCATCCCTCCCTTATTCCCTTCCTCTTTTTGGCCTGTAGGATTCTTCCCACAGACACACTGGTTCCTAGGTAGGGGGAAGGGTACCGGGGTCCATCCCATTCCATTGAGGTTCTTGGAGGTGGCGCAGTTTGCCGTGGAATCTGCATCGCCTGGGGATGTCCCGATCCCTCTCCGGTAACCCGGGGAATGGTTTTGGGTGTCTTTTGGGCGACAGGTATATATCTGGAAGCCGCCTTTCGGATTCTGGGGGTGGTGGCCAAAGGAGGTATGCTTTGTGGCGGATATCCGGCCGCCTTCTCTTTTGTCCACCGAGGTAGCTCGGCAGATGTAAGGTTGCTATCGAAGATTGCTGGTTTACTGGCATGAAGGGTAGGGTATGGCACAGGTTCCATGAGGCATCTGTGCTACTTGCGGTTCTGAGGACCTCTTGGGCATGGAGGGAGATTTACAGCCCTTTCATTCCTCCTAGGAACTATTCCTCCTTGCTCCCCCTTTTTTTTATTCTTTTTTTTTTATTTTTTTCTTTTCTTTTTTTTAAAAAAACAAAAAGACAAGAAGTAACCTAACCATGGAGATCCCAATCCATGAACCTCCTACCCCCGGGCCCCTTCTTGATACCGCACCCCATTCTGACCCTGCCTTGTTTTTTTACCACTCTCGGACACTCCTGATGCCCCTGTACCTCTTGCTGGTGCTGTTTCCTCACCCGCTTCAGGTACCGGGGCTTCAACTGACTCCTTCGATTTGTCTGACCTCCGCTTTCCTTTGACTATGCTTCCGGCCTCTCTACAGTGTGGCAATTTTCGAATCGCCAGCCCGTTTCACATTGGACGAACTCCGGTCCCACTCCTAAACGCCAACGACAATTGCCTGATGATGATACTTCACCACCACCTCGTTCTTCTCAGAAAAGATCAACCTGTCATGCACTCCCTTTCCATGCTCAGTTTCGGAATGCACAATGGATTCAATTCTTTACTTTACAACCGACTTCCTCTAGTGCCTATCTTTCCAACCATAGTATTGGCAAGGCGCTCCTACGACATGTTGGTAGAGATATTTCCTTTTATGCTCTTAAGAGCGGTACGCACATCATCACTGTCCAGAATGCTACCCAAGCTCATGACCTTTCTTTTCTTTTGCATATCGATACTATTCCTGTCACTATCGAAAAACATCATTCCCTCAATTCTTGTAGTGGTACTGTCATTCTGCCCCATACCATAGTCCAACAGAATTTTCAGACATGTGGCAATGACATTCTTGAACAGCTGGAACTCCAAGATCTCCCAATCCTCAAGGTAGACACTTATGTCCTTCCTGCCTTCGGGCGGAGGCGATACCCTTGCAATGTGGCTCGATTAACTTTTGACAGCCGTGAACTCCCATCCTCTGTTTATGTAGCAGGACATCGGTTACAAGTTCGAAAGGTGACCCCTACACCGCAACAGTGTAGAAATTGCTGGCAATTTGGTCACCCAGCGAAATATTGCAGATCTATCTGGAGAGTTTATCTGGAGAGAGTTCCGGGGGTCAACGCCCCCGCGGCCCGGTCTGTGACCAGGCCTCCTTAGGTCAGTGTCCCAGGATGCGACCCACACCAGTCGACTAACACCCAGGTACCCATTTTACTGATGGGGAACATAGACAACAGGTGGAAAGAAACACGTCCAATGTTTCTACTCTGGCTGGGAATCAAACCCAGGCCCTCACCGTGTGAAGCGAGAGCGTTAACCACCAGGCCACCAGAGCCTGAATGCCCAGTCTGTGGTGCCGATGACCATTCTAATACGTCTTGCTGTCAACCTCCCTCTTGCCTTAATTGTCATGAAGCTCACCCTTTGTACTCTCGCTGTTGCCAGGTCTATTTAAATGAGCGTGAAATCCGTTGCCTCAAAGAGGCAGAAGGTCTCCCTTATGCTATGGCAGTTTCTCATCTCCGCCTCCAAGGGAGGCTGCCCCGTGTTTCTTATTCTGTTTCCAAACATCCCCCCACTTCTGGGGTCCCATCTTCTGCAGCCTCCTCTGTGGTTACCCCTCCCATAGCCACTCCTGTATCTAATTCTTTTGCTGTCCTGGGCTCAGACGTCCCTACTACAACACCTCAGTCTGTTCTCACATCTTCGCGTCCTTCCTCACAAGCCCCGGTATCAACAAGACCTCATACGACACCTTCTACCAATCGCCCCTTTACTTCTCAGAAGTCCAAAAAATCCCCATTGCTCAAATCTTTGCCCCCTCCTTCCACCTCTGCATTTTACCTTTCCAGTCTCTATGCCTAGTTCTTCCCCTCTCACTGGCTCTATTACAAGTGTGGAGGTTCACCCTCCTCCTCGTACTGTGCCTTCCACCCCTGTCCCCTCCCAAGTTTCTCCCTCTTCTGCCTCTTCTGTCCGCTCCCACACTTCTCCATTATTATTATTATTATTATTATAATCAAAAAGAAGCGCTAAGCCACAAGGACTATACAGCGCTGCAGGGCTGGAAGGAAGCGAGGGCATCAGGTGGCAAAAGGGAGATGGATGAGTAATAGGTTACGGATAACAGCGGGGTAGTGGATGGTGAAAGGGTAAAGGGCAGCAAGAGACTGAACTAGAAA